AAGTAGGTTTAGACAGGGTAAGCAGCCACATAGAGACAAACAACTCTCCTTTTCCATAATGCTTTTAATAAAATGTCACTCTGACGAGGACATTAGCCTTGCAGCCTTAAGGGTCTGTCTTCAGTGGCTTCTGAATCACCTTCTGTGACTGCTTGAGGGACAAATTTAGACAGAAAATCGGGGTGGAGGGCCTGTCCCAGAGGCCGTTGGCTGTGCTGGATGCCTGCCCCTTGCTCCACCAGGCTCTCTGTTTCCTTTTATGTGAATTTTCGGTAGACAAATCTTACGAAATTGGGAGTACTTTTGAGCAAGCTGTTTGAGCTGGCAGGGTGTTGGCTGATACTGAAAGCAATTTCCTTGTGTCAGAAAAGCTTCCTGGGTATTTTGTGTTTCTTAATCTGATATAAAGATCAAGGAAGGTTCTACCGACACTTGACTGTCACTTCGGAGAAACATACAGGCTCGCTCTGTCCTTCAAGGAAAGCACTTCTGGAAAGGGCTTCATCTAGTGAATTTAACAGCATGAAATAAATATTAGAAAGTAACCCAAGTCTAATAGTTTTAAATAAATACTGTGTCCTAAGTTAATATGCTAATGCAGTTTTAGATGTGGATAACTGAGAATGTACTTCTCAGTATAAGTGTTGAGTGGGCAACTTTGTTTTCAGTGGCTACAGTTAGTTTGAGAAGCTTGTGTTATTCTAGAAACTTGATAAAAATGAACTGAACTGCAGCTTAATAGTCCTCATTAATAAGGTTAGAGATAATTACAATTTTTCATGAGTTACGAGAGTATATAATTGCATAGAATGGAAGCTAAATTAAATATCTTAGGTAATTAAAGACTGTGTTAAACTGTAATTAAAACTGGGATGCCAGATACTGTTTGCTTTTGAATCAAATTATTTTGTGATATGAAAGTTAATATGAAAGTCGAGAGAAATTATATTGGGGATGGGGCTGGAAAACCTGTGGCTAACAATCATGGATATGTTCCCACATCTGTTTTACAGTTTTCCAAAGCCTCATTTAAGAGAGAAGGTAATTCTTTAAAGTGGATAAGAGCACTGTATTCCCAAAGTAGCATTTTACTTGTATTTTATCCTACTGTAGAACATAAATTGCAACTTGTGTATTCTTGATTCATGGTAAAATAAGACCAAGAAAATCTGGGTTTTGTCCAGTAATGCTTTTACTTTATAGAAGAATTGGCATATCTTGAGGGGCACCTTTTTTTTTTTTTTTTTAACTGGAAAGGTGTGCTACAATTGGAGTGGTTGGAAGCTATTTCTTCCAATTGCTTTTAAAGTATATGTTCAGTGACAGAATTTCTAAAATACTGACAGTATCATGGCTAGGGCCATAAATATTATTGGCTATATTTTTATCGTACAATTAGCAAAGTCTATAACTTAAAATACTAGCTTACAATGTTTTCCTTTTGGTTTTAGTTTGAAAGATTCTGCTACTACTACTTGTAGCGATTGTCTGCCAAACTGAGTTCTTCTGACTTTTAATTTCTATTGATGCCTTCTGTTCTTTGGTGTAGGAAGCCTACAATTGAAAATTTGATCAATTTTCTGAAACAATTTACAGTGCCACTAGGGGACAGCAGAAGATAATAGTTTTTGAAGCACATGACTGCTTATTTCTTTTCCCAACTGTTTTTCCAAACTTAGTTTGTAAGTTGTATGGCATGAAAAAAGACATTTATAGGAATGTTTTCCTTTCAACCTTGATTTCATTGATGAGTAGAATAAACACTGAAAAGTCTCTTATCTTTCTATTCATGCGTAAATGTCTTGTATTTTGGATGTACTTGTATCCTGGCACGTGCCGGTAATCAATTTCTTTCTTTCCTAGCATTACATTCTTCCATCCAGTCTGGTGGGTTTTTTTTGTTTTTCTCCCTTCAGAGGAGACTGTTAAAAACTGTTATTTGGGTTTGATTTTTCTGTCAGGAGTCTTTATTTTTAAAGACACAGTGGAATGTTAAACAGAATAAATCTTTTTGCTCTGCGTTTTTTATCTGTGATATGTCCAGAACTTGATATAAGCTTTACATCTGACTCAGGCTCTGCCTTCTGATGGTATTTAATCCAAGCTACTTGGTTAGGTTTCTTAGGTACTTTCACTGACTTAGGAAGATCACTGTAACTCTGTTGTTGTTGTAGTTAAACTTAGCGTACATACAGACATGCATGTGCTGTCTAATGCTACGTATGTTTTTTTTCCTTTTGGTAAGTTATATTCTGAAGACAGATGGAATAATAAAAGTCCATCTTCCCAAAGCAGGATGTTCTGTTGCCTGCCGTCTCTGTACTGGCTGGTGTGATGATTAGAGCCAAGACGTATGAATGAAGACTTAAAAGGTCTGTAGGATTTTTTGATGCCTTGTGAATACTGAGGAATACACAAATCAAATTTTGTAAAGGTGAAAGTGGCAGGTTGTAAAGTGATCTTATCCCGTCATGAAGTAAAATGCTTTGAAGAATGCTCATGAGAGATCACATGAAATTGTTGACACTTCATCTTTAAATTGTATCAAATTATTAAATTATATTATCTAAAAATTAAAATTTCTAAACACTGTGCCCTAGCTACCTACATTCCTTACAGTGGCTTGTGGTGCCGCGGTCGCACTGACTGGCACTGTGTTATCCATTAGAATTCTTTTTATAATGGCATGATATAAATGTTCCAGTACACTGAAATATTAAGTGACTAAATTATTACCTGCTATCCTGTAATAAAAAATAAATAAGCACATATATTTTAATGCAGTAGAATGGACGCAGCTGCTGTGGCAAATGGATTTCTTATAGTCTAGGAGGGAGGACCCAACAACCTCCCAAGGCCTTCTGAATTCAGTTTGTTCTGAGACTAGCATGATAGGGTTGATGAGCTGCTGCCTATTCGTGTCCATGATTTCTTTTTACTAAGCCTGTCTGGCAAACAAGGACACCTAGCCGGTGCGACTGCATGAAAGGGATTATGGTTTTGTTGTATGAATAAAACATAGTTGCATGGTTCTTGGAATTTGGCAATAGATGTAAGTGGGCTGCTGTCCAGACAGGAGAAGGAAAAGGATATTAAGTGATCACAGGAAAACAAAACAACCCCCCAAAAAACCAAACCCTGAAGCAATCTCTAATTTCGGAGCAGTATTTGCTGATTATTTTTTTTAGGATACTGAATTAAGATCTATGTGATGGAGAAATAGGAGCATACAGTACATTAGAAGTGAGCTAAAACAAAATTAAAAAAAAAGCAAGTCAGATTTTTTTTGGTCTACTTTTCAAGTGCTCCCTATTGGACTGTTTACAACCCCTGGGAAAGAGCTCTTCTCCCTGGCTGAGTCGAGGAGCAAGCAGTGAGCACAGGCTGGCTGCAGCATTTGCTCAGCTGTGAACAGCAAGTGCGCTCTCTGCTCTGTTGTAATTTTTCTTGGGCTGCTTTAGCAGGACTTGCTGTAGATGATACAGCACAATTGCAGTTAGCGCTGCACACAGATCACCTGTTAAAGGTTTGTTGTTTTAAAGAAAAATACCAATTACCAGAAGAGA